CCCAGAGCACTGCCTGTACAGCCCCCAGAGCATTGCATGTACAGCCCCCAGAGCACTGCCTGTACAGCCCCTGAGCACTGTCTCGAAATCCCACCTGTAATGGGTCCTAAGGCGGAACTTGGACCAGAGCTGCTGCTTGTCAGTGAGGCCTGGGACTCCCYTTTGGCCACAGAAACCTGTGGCTTCATCTGCTTCCTCTGAGGATTGAGTGAGTGACACATGCTCTTTTACATGATTTTTTTGAGTCTAGATTATGATTGTTATATTGATACAGCAAAGTCTGTGCTATGATACAACCCGATCTGCARAGAGTCCATGTGAACCGAAATTGTAAATTATAAATATAATTTATAGATTTGTTGTATTATAAATTATAAATTTAGGTATTAAATATAGTATATTTCAGTACTTAGAGATTGCACTACACTGATTTGAGAAGAGAACTGAGAGGAGACCCCATAAATGAAGCGATGGTGTCAAGAAGATGGTTCTTTTTGTGGTGCTGAGCAATAGATCAAGACTCAATGGCACAAACTGATGCACACGAGGTTCTATTGGAACATGAGGAAGAACTTCTTTACTGTGCAGGTGACCAAGCACTGGAACAGATTGYCCAGAGAGAATATATTCTAGAACTTCTTGGACACAATTCTGTGCCATGTGCTCTGAGATGATCCTGCTTGAGCAGGGAGGTTGCAGATAACTGACTGTGGTCCCTTCCAACCTGACCCATTCTGTGTGTGATTCTGTTCATAGAAATCCTGTGTCATTCTAATAATAAATTCTGTGCTAGACTAGTAATTAAATCCTGCTAAGGAAAATAAAGCTTTCATTGTTAAGCTATTGTTTAGTAGTTAAACTAAGTGTTAAATGCACTACTATTTAGTGTTGTCATAATTCTGCCAAGATCTCTAAATGAACCTGGCTGTCCACTAAGGGTCAGGTGGTTGGTAAGAGCAATAAAGAGGCAAGATTAGCACTGACAGCTCAGTCCTAAAGTTAAAATCGACTGATGGTTCAAGGGCTATTTTCCTTTATGATTACTTAGTAGAAGTTAACTGCTTAAGGAGATAAATTCTTGGGAAAATCTCCAATCCCTACGGTCTGTGTTTGAAAGAACTTTCCCTGAGTGAGTATCTAAATCATCAAGAAAGGAAAAAAATGTGGCTTCAATGATCAAATAAAGGCAAATACATTCTCAGTGAAGTGCAGTTCAGGAAGGTCTGCAGAGGCTTTTTTTTCCCCACATCCTTTTGCCCTGTATTAGTGGCTTGCCCTGACTCCTGGCATTGCCAGTGATCAATATCTCTTGAGATGAGCTGGCTGCAAGGAAAGAAGTCGTGTTGCCTCTGGTGACATGACAGTTACAGGTCATTAGCCAGCAACTGTGGCAAAGTGCCTGGCACCACCAGGCCCCATTCAGACACGGTGTAGGGAAGGCCAGGACTGCTCAACACCTGTGTGTTATCTGCAGAGGAGGATGAGCATGACCCCTCTTACAGAACCTAGCAAGCCTTCCCTGGAGACCTGCAACACACAGCCTTTATTTGGCAGGTTGTTGCTGAAGGGAGATGCAGGTCTCAAAATCAACACTAGCTTAATGCCATGAACATCTATGACCAGGAGACAAGTTCACAGATGTATTACATGGTTGATACAAAAATCTGTCGTCAGTCATGCAGGAGGAGGAGGAGGAAGGAGGGCAGCATTTTGGCAGATTCAAAGGAAAATRCAGTCCCTTACTTGAACAGAAACTCAAATCTTATTATTCTGTATTTAGAATGCTGTATCAAGTCATGGTGGGACTGAAGCTGTGATCTAAAATATTCCAASGCAACCCACTTATGCCATATAGTCTTAGAAAATACAGACGAGTGCAAGTAAAGCTGAATTACCACCATACACCTACACATCAATTATTTTTTTCAAGAATGGTCTTCAATGTCATTTCTGTATTTGACAAAGTTGTTCAATAAGTAGAAGGCCAACAACAATAATAGCCCCMAAAAAATTGTCTAGAAGTAGCAATTTTAAGAAAAGTCACTCATATTTTCAAGTGCTAGAAATGTTTTATTTCTAGCCCTGAAGCACTTGCGTTACTGACAGTGCTTAGGCTCAGCTATTGAGTTTTAGAAGTAGAATGCAATTGTTTTCTTAAAGCTAATTCACTTAACTAAATAGATGATAATATACCAAATTTGTGTTCATATTTAATGTGAAAAAGGTGTTGCTAGTGGATCATGGAGTATATCGTAAAATGTATGAAAGCATGATGTACTTTATGATTAAACATGTTTTTATTAATARTTGAAAATTATTAATTAATGCTTAAAACTCCAGTAATTTTATTTCTAAAGGTATGGATATCTGGATGTCCAAGGAAATATGTATGACACTTTCCAGGACAGACACTCCGTTTTAAATAAAGGGGAAGGGGGGAGGGTATGTTTTCCTTAATTCCTTTTTGACAATTTCTAGCCTAGTCGGTCATAGTTCCACCATAATTACAGAGAGTTGAATACAATCCTTTAGGAAAACTGTGAATCCTATTGTGCCTTTTGGATGGTACAGAAACTGTCAATTCTTCAATGATTTTTGGCAGCATTCTGCTTGTGTTGCATCTGGTTGAAGGTTTTTCATAAGATCTATTAGCCCTAGTCATTATGCGAGCACTGTTGCATAGAGGCAGGTGCCTAAACATAATYTGCTGATGCTCTAGCTATGCTGACACACAGAGCAAGTCATTCCATTTGTGGGACCCTTACATATACCTTTATATATTCCCCTGTATTGCTCCTTCCCAGCAGCTTACATGTAAGGCTGTGCCTGGTCAGAGGAATTTTACTTCCTCTGACCAGTGTCACCTGGTCCTCCCAGCTTTCATGTGGCTCCACGTAAGCAGTATTTTCAAGGCGGCTTGTTATATGTTTTGCACAAATTTACTTTAGTGGGAGTAATTGTCACAGCCTTCTACCTAAAAAAAGTCCATCTAGGTTTTGTTTTTTCTTGGGGATAAGAGCACACATAGTAATTCCTGCTCATTCTCATTTCATGGAAGCAGCTAATCAGCCTGATGAGCTCAAATGTCTGCACACAAACAATTATGTAATATATGTTTAATCTGAAGTGTGTGCAGTGCACCTAATGTACTTGAAAGCAAGCRTGCTAGATTGCAGAACACTGCCTATGACTCATAATTTCTCTGTGAAAGATCAGCTTAAGGAGTTAATGCCACACATATGGTTCATTGCAAGAAAAGAGCAGACACTCAAAAGCATTGCAGTATGTCACAAGTCCCTTGTATAGTAACAGTTCCCAATTAATATGTCTCCCAGTTAAATACTACCCATAAGAAACACTCAACTTGTAAGGTGTGCAAATAATAAGGTTTTTATTTATCCTGATATAAAACATCATTTTATATCATTCTGATATATCCCTACCCCTGTTTTTTATTTCCTTGGCTCTAGTAAGGGACTTTCTGCACTGAAGTTGTTTTGTGTTGTACCAGTAGTTCACTTCAGCTTTAGAGCCAGTATGTTTGTCAGCTGATACAGTTCGAATTTGAGACATCAGGCCACCATGCTGCTGAGGTCAGAGCAAACCATGCAGAAGGAAGTGCAGCAACTAGGGTTTAGTCCACTAAGTTCCAGTGGCAATTTCCATCACCTTGTGCATCTACTGACAGTTGGTTTAGACAGCCTGAAAATCCATGACCAAATGCATGTGTG